GAACTTGGGAATCATCTTTATAGGGCCCGAAATATCCTAAGCCATTTGTAGAGGACCCTGGGACTTAGGGAGCCGCCTGTATCGTATCTCATGAATCCAGAAGCCGTCCTATTGGGCCTCATATATCATCTTTATCAGAGTCTCTCTGACTCTACCAAGCATCTGTTTCAGCTCGTCTGTAAAACCAGCTTGTTGCATTAGTGTAGACAGTGCTTAAGAGTCGCGTCGTAAGACAATGGCGAGACGTGTCTCGCAGGATGCATGGTACCCACACGTATTTCTTTCAAGAGATTATAACGCGGGTGGCGCAATCGATGCACACGAGACACAGCCTGTTATCAGATGCGCGCGGCTGGGAAACGCACTTCCGCTTTTTAAGGTTCACGTACTTTCCTCGCGATTAATTCCCAAGATTTAATAACTGTGTTACGCGCGGAGAATGCGAGTAACGACGGCAGCAGGAGGTAAAATTGCGACAAGAACGTTCTTTCACAAAAAATAGAAAACGCGTGGCAATCCATGAATGTTACGGACACGTAGGTAAGATTTCATCGTGATTTTTCAGTAGCGTGCACATAACTCTGATTATTAATTTAATTTCAAGAATTTCCTTGATGCCTATCAATGCAGAAATAATAATATTTCGTGTCCTTCTATATCACTACTCTATTTATTTTCGATTATTACTGATTTTGACGAATTGTGAAGTTGTATGTCGCAATTGTAACTAGCCACGGGAAATGGAATACGCATAGAAGGGCGCAATTTCCTGTTCTCATTAATAGACGTCGTGTCCTGACGTTACGCGTTTCGTTAGAGTCGCAGTACAAATAGCTGGACGCTTCGAGCTAGTTAACGAGAGCATTCGTGATAAACGTCGGGCGATAAAGCGAGCACAGTAAGCGCCCAAGTCCTGCGCGCTATGGACACTCTGAAAAGTATCGGGCCCCTCAGATAAAAATTGCAAAAATCATAAATATACAATCATATTCATTTATCTGGCAAATGTCTGAATTGTTAATTGATGGTATAAATTTATTTATAAATGATGAATAGTTCCCCCATAGAGGACACCCCAAGTATTCTCAAGTGCTCCAGTAGTGAATGCATCTGCCAATTAATTTACTCTATACAAAGACTTTTGGACCGACACAACTAACCGAAGCCGCAAATGATTCTGTAAATTTCCAGAAAAATCCAGCGAAGTCGTTCGGATTAGAAAACGTAAAATATCACACCTTATGAAAGCACGAGATCGTGTGAAGCGTCGCGGTGGCTGCCGGGGAATTCCAGATAGAATGATCCTCGCAATAAGCGTACGCAAGTACGCGGAATGTAATAGGAGCAAATTGGAGACGCTTCGCGTCCCTCCCGCCGCGGCTCGCCGACTGAAACTGGCTCTAAAGAAGGGAACGCGAGACGTTTTAGTTTAATGCCGCAGGTAGTTTCCACTTCAGGCATCGGTGGCTGCGATTTAGTCGCTTGTAACGAAAGACTCGATCCCAGGATGGTTAATACCTCAAAGGCATTATTAATCGGTGCTTAAAAGTAGGAAATGAACTCGACCGGGATGATTCCACGGCTCGTTAAGTGCGAAGCTTCTGCGCTAACAGTTGGAGTGTATCGCCCCCGATAGGCTTCTTTTTTCCATTTTCTATCTCCTGGCCAATTGCTTTCGCAATCGTGCATTCGATACCCGAAGAATTTACGGTGGGTGTCTCTTTAGTGTCTTCTGCTATGCGTAGGCATCCAGACAGGATTGCCTTGCATCTCTAACACATCTTTATGGAGTAGAAGCAACGGTGCATGTGCTATTTAAATATTAGAACAAAGTGGTCCGATGCTGCACCATTCAGTCTGATGACCAATCGACGAAACCTTCCCTAAATACATTCCCTCTAAAGAATGATTCTTACTTTCTTAGGAGAACCTTCTCTATTCTCGATAAACCTAGCATTCGATAAACTAGCCACGAAACAAAACATCCTGTATATTTCGCGAATTGCCACACACGCTCACAGGGTTGCGGTCTGAGTCGTGTCTCGATACCGTAGTTTCACGCCTGGATTTTTACCGTGGTGTAAAAACACGGTAAATTTGTGAAATTTATCGCACGTGCTCGCCGTAGGTAGTCGAGGTGAGAAAAGATGTGCCCCGGGGCGGGACGCGGAGCAAGTAGTCCCGAAGCACGTAGCGTGACCCAAACGCGTGACAAATTCATCGTGTCACGCCGTCTCACGTGCTCCGAGGACCACCTTCGTGAACGATACGAATTACCAACGGTACGCAGCAACCCGTGGCTCTTGTCGGCCTCGTAGGGACGCTGATATAATTTAAGTCCTAGAAGAAACGCGGCCATTAACGCGCCATTAACGGGCCTGGCCATGCGTGACTCCCTCCGGAGTTTCGCTTTTAAAGGGACCCGAGCTGGACGCAGATCACCCTCCACGGGCTTTCATTAACTCTTGCTCCGATCCCCGCTCGGATGCTTCGATTTACTTTCTGCGGGCCAATTTAGTTAGCAGCTTCTTTTTCGTTTCGCGCTCGACCACTGCTGCGAGCGGTTTGTAAACTTTTCGTGGTCCTCGCGCCGATATTTACGGTACGCAATTTTTATCTCGTGCATAGTAATTAAGTAGAGAAGGAGTAAACTCTGAAAAGTTGAGTTTTCATGTATACATCAAAAATATGTACTTCTACATAAGTGTACGAATATTTATAAAATTGTCTGTATCTATATTTAATTTATAATTCATCATGACTAATATTTTTGATATCTTTATTGCTCCATTTCGTATCGGCTGATCGACAAAGTGACGTATGACTTCAAATTTAGACAATTAGTGAATCGTTCCTCGAGACGTGGCCACAATAGAATTTCAATCTTATCTGCCCCCGACATCGTCCAGCCGTGTCACCCATCGATCAGTCGAGTTGGATCCGAATCCTAGCAGATGACGGACCAAAACCTCGTTGACCCGGTTCTCCACGTTAACATCCTGTAAAGTTACCTATACACTGAAATTTCCTTAAAGAGATCCATCCCCGTCAAACGAAATAACATCGATACATTCAACCAACCTATAAATTAAAAAATTTCTATACTTAAAAATTTTCCAAACTGCCAACTTTGAGGGCTTGTGCTTCCTAAACAATTAAGAAATCTGCCAGCTGATGACTTAAACCCTCTCTAATATAGCATGGACCACCATATACTCGAATATCATAAAAATTCCTGACTTCCTGATACAGAAGTGATCGATTTAGAGTGGAGAGGCTCTGTATAGGTTTCTTCTCGAGTCACCTTCGGTGTTGGTATCGGTGTTTCGCCGCCAACCTGGTCGAGAATTTGACCGAACCGAAGTGGTTCGTGGCTGGTGGTGGCGGCGAATACCGACGGGGTTGAGACAGGGGCATATGGGATCGATACATCATGGTGGCCCGGCGGGGGGCCTCAGATACCATCTTAGTTAGCATCCTCGAATAGACGCGTACGTATCCTTGGAGCTGGACGAGAGCCAACCTTGTCATTATACCTCTATCTGCTTATCTGTATCGGTCCAATATCGACGTGGCACAGCCGAGACTCGAAACCTAACCGAGAACTATCGACTTCCCATGCAGGAGATCGCTCTATTCGTGCGGCCGCGGTGTAATGGGGTTAACGAGGAGCTTATGTTGGTTTACGAGTAAAGCCGTACTTACGCGTTACGAGGCGTTCGTCGACCATTAATGCACTGGTGTTCCTATTCGTGGACAGCTCGAGAAAAAGGTGCACACGAAAAAGCCCCACCATTAGCGAGGGTAAAGGAATGCTGTCTCTAAAAATGCTGGGAATTTAATGGATTGATGAAATGATTAGATGAGAACAGGGTTTACTTCATTCCGTTGCTGATCCTTGGTAGGGTTATTATGGTCGAAATTTATGGCAATGCATTCGAACGATCCTATATTAGGTTGTCCGGAAAGTTCGTGGCAAATATTTAAGAAAAATTCGACGGGTTCTTTTCTAATTTCAAAAAGTATACGCAACGTTGTCGATCCTCTGCCGAACGAAACGTCAAGTCGAGCCAGCTGCAAGCGTCGTCACGCCTTGAGGATCGTGTTGAACGGTTCGAAAATCATTTCTCGTCGGAGTTGCTTCCTCTCTCAACGACCAGGCGGACCGAACTCGTGCCCAGGGAGACGAGCGGAGCCAACTTCGCGAAAAAGTGCCACGGAAAGAAACGTGGGACGAGGAAACGCAATGATACAAAGAGGAATCCCGACGCGAGCAAGGGCATGCGCGAATCCGCGTCTAATCACGAGTTTAACGCTTTTTATCGCATCTACCCGTAGCTTCTTTGGCCGACGTCGATCGTTTTCCCACAGTCAGCACGCCTGCCTCCTCGCATAGCCGTACCTAGAATCGTAGCGGCTCTTATCGCTTTTTCGTCTCCATCTCTCCTCAACTTGTCTACAATGAAACCTCCGGCTTTCCACTTTACGCGATTCAAAGGCAAACCACCGAAACCGTGTCGAAGAAACATTCTTCCGACATCGTTCGGATTTTTTAGACTTTAGACTAGATTTTTTAGAAAGAAAGTAGTCGAAATTGTTCCTTTGTGACAATTTTTAGAAACTCTTCATACCATTATTATGGAAGATTAAAAATTAATTTTGTTCCGGAGGTATATGTCACAGAATGACATCAAGTGGAACCTGTCATCGATGAAGTTTCTGCCTCTGCTGAAATCCTAGAGTTATCTGATTCCAACACCTGCCGTTTAACGCTCCTTACAACACTAATTAAAGTTTACGCGTCGACGTATTATAGGAGCCAATAATCACAGTATACTTTCAATGTACTCAAGTTAGATCTAACATGAGAATCAGTTCGGCCCATTGGCGGGTAGCCGAGCGATACATCGCTACTCGAATACGCAGAGCCTGTCAAACATCGCGTACCTGGTGATTACCACTGCCATACGCATTCTGATCTCTAGACACACCTTCGCTACCGTTGATACCGTATAATTAAGCTGGGAAACAGTTGTTCCTTCCTGCAGATAAAAATCGCTCGGTTTGTGGTCGGTCAAATCTCGCAATCCCGTCATTATCATCGTCTGGATCGCAAACAATCCTCTTCCATCGCGACCCGATTTTCTTGCCTGCATTCATTCCTTCGCATGATTGAGTACGCCTCGATTTTATTACGGGCGCGTGGAAACCGCGAAAACTAGATCGATCAAAAATACTGGAGACCATTGCTCTTCTAATGAATAAATCCAAAATTCAAGCGATCATACACTTTCGTTCATCAATCCCAATTTAAATTGCGTTTCCTCAGCATCCGTCGGAGTTGATTTATCAAAACTCCGTGTTCTATGCAAACGAAGCAAGAGCGTCCATTACAAAATTTTTGTTTCAATCCTGCCAGGGATCCTGTCATGCCGAAGGCGCATTTATCGTCGCCGAGGCGCAGGAATAGGGGCGTTAGAGGATCCAGGGCTCTGTAGAGGTCCCAGAGATCCATGGCCGTCGTGGATAGCCGCGTCTAAATCGTAGGATGCGGCGCCTGAAATTTTATGCGATCGCGTGATCGCGCCTCCTCCACGTTTTCACGAGGCTTCGGAGTTGGGTGCAGCGGCGCTGGCTCGGCTTCCTTATCGCTATTAGAATTACCATTTTGCGCGTATTACCGAGGAACCTCGTTCCCTGCGTTTTTAACTGCATTCCTGGAACGCCTCTCTTGCTCATGTGAATTTTTCCGACGATTTTCGAAGCTTCGTTTACTATTTATGACACGACGCCGTTCGCACCTTGATATATTGAATTGAATCTATGCGTGGCGATTGGTAGACTTATAAAGGCAGTACATGAATTTTTTCGTCTAGTTTATTCTAATAATTTCTCTAAAGAATGGCTGTCTTTGTTTTCCAGTTATTTGGCACGCGTGCGTGACTTGCCAACACTGTATTATAATACAGTTTATCGCCTTTGTATACAACATGCGTAAGCAATGATTTATCGCAGGAAATACTAATTCCTCGCAATTATCTTTGCACGGTTTGCGCATGTACACAATGGAGACGTGTCCAGCGATCCATGACGTTGGCACCCACCGTACAGGCACGCGAATTGAAAACAAAACTGATTACTCAATTTAGTAAATTCAAATTTGGACATTCACACGTCCTGAAGAATACTCAAAGCTACTGTTTAACCCCTTTACCTACACGTTATCTCCCGATTGCTTGAGTCGTAGTAAGCGGGAATGTAGGAAATTTGAAACTTGAACGTTTCATCCCTAGAAGAAAAGAGCTGGTGTCGAAAACAGCCACCAGAGTCGGATGTTAAAAAGTCAATGGGATCATTCTCTATGGTTCTTAAGCATAACCGCCACAGCGAAAGTTACCTGCACAGTGTGTTGCATTTGTAGTCACGTGAACGTATCGTAGTCAAGTATACGTAGCTGGAGGGCCACAGGGCCGTGTAACACATAAAACGGGCGCATAAACGCGATGCTATCAGGGTTGGAGGAGGTTCCGCGTAATCTATCCAATTATCGTTCGATCAGAGCTGTGTCCGTGGATGTCGGGACCCACAGCCACCGAGTGTGAGCTGTTAGGGTAGTCGAGTGTAAATGATACCCTCTCTAACGGTGGTCGCAGTCGAATGATCGCTGCGTTACGCGATGATATTAGAAGTAATTTCTGCCACGAGGAAAAATTAAGTAGCTTTAGCTGCTACTGGAACTAAACGGAAGACTACTTCGTTTCCTGGATTACGTTTGTGGCGCATGTTAGGACATTTCAGAGGCGGAGTTTACGATGCAGGATCCTGGGAACGCGGTATCGTTGGGTAATATCAGAATAGTCGATTCGTTGACTAATTTGCCGGGGGATAGAGAATTTAGATCTTATAGAGAGTATGTTTCCACGTTAATCTTTGAGTTTTGGACTTCATTCGTAGATTGATGGATCCTTGAGAGTGACCGCGTCCAAACACCGCTGAGAATCTTACAACAAGTAACAATAAGTAATAAATAATACAGTGTACAAGAGAAGTTTGTTGTCAACGTAGTAGAAGATAATAACAGATGTCTATCGGTGGGAAGCAGGAAGTGTACGAAAATAGATGTGAATCAGAGTCAAGACTATAGGAGGACGACTAAGAGTACTACCCAACTGAGTTCTTAAGCATCTTACTTGACCTACAAGTACATTGATAGGTCCGTCAGTATCATTCACTCCTACCAAAACACTTTCCACTACGTTCACTGAACGACACGTGGATCAGCCAATCTTCCAGCGGCTGGTAGTCACAGGTTTCTCTAAGGCGACTTCCCAGGGCAGTTTCCCGCGAACTTATCGCCGATTTATTAGCGATCCGGAGTTGGAGGACTCGTTCGTTGGTCGCAATTCACGGTGGGCTAGCCAGGGTGGGGTCACCGAAGGTTGCGCAACTCGTGGCTATTGCGCGGCGGTGCTGCCTTCCACACGATTGCCACTTTAAGTGCGCCATAATGGCAGTGGGCTCGCTAAGAAGAACGCGATCTTAAGAAACGGCTCACGGTGCCTCAGCAGGGCTCGAGGCCGTCCGTCTCGGTTTCGCTAGGCCCGTCGTGGCTGGCTGTCTCGGTCGCTCAGGGCCCCGCGGATGCGGATCGCCGTTGGGCCTTTCACTGGGGGCCTGCGGGCTACGGGTCGCGACCTCAACGTGGTCCACTCCCTCCTCCCCTTCCCTCTCCTCTACCACGCCGACTCTCTCGCTCCTTCTTTCTCTCCCTTCTGCTTTTCTTTTTCTCCAAACATTTTTACCTCCCTTCTCTTACCTTTGTGCTTTACCTAACTCGGCTCCCTTTGCCTACTCGCTCCTCTCCGCCTCGCCGTATTGCTATCGTCTCGCTTCCCTGGGCCGTCCCTGTCTATTCTTAGCCACTCTCGTTAAGGGATTACGCCATGACTCCTGAAAATATTGCAATATTCTGCCTTTTAAATGTATTTCTAAGCTGAAGTCAAAGGACAGATGGTACCAGTCTCTTCTGTCTCGAGTGAGAATAAGAATGCTTGTCCTCGTAGCCTAATTTCAAACAATGCTTGCCTGACAATCGCCCAAACCTCTCTAGAGTAATCTATCCTGGGAATCCCTCCTTTCAGCCAGGTTAATATTTAGGTTATCCACGGAGATCGTCGAGGGTCGCGCAGAAAAATGGAGCCCCGAGTCCCTGGGAACGTTAGGCCCGATGCGCGGAGGTGGATCCTACCTTTCCCGCGAAGAAGCGCTTGCCCTGATTTTCGTGGCGAGCGCATACGTCGGAGGCTGGAGCTCGTGATCACGACCTCCGCGATCGGAAGAGCTTAATCATGCGGGAACGTGTACCATGGCGTACGAGCACGCCGCGAGAGAGACTCGTTCCAACCGCGGCGGAATCACCTATCCGGCCGGGCACTTAATTTCTCCTGACTACGATTAACCTGCGTTCCACTTCTATTTAGTAACAGGAATTTAATCGGCAGCTCATCGTTTCGACGTACGGAATTACGTGAATCCCGAACGACGCCGGCTACCAGGACGTCGGCGTCGGGAGCTTTACGCTGCCACGTGGCCCGTTCGTTAAGGTAACCCGCGGTTGTAATTAACTCGCGAAGACAGGAATTCATGCTTCTGTGCCGCCGCGATACGATTTTTGCGATATCGGAGGATTCTAACTGTACCTCGCCACAGAGAGCTCGTAAATCGAAGGACGTTTCAGCGACCCTTTATAGCATCTCCTGAGAGTGTTTCTCTGAGGAGCTTGGAAACTTGGAGGGTTTGATGGTATTTGAGTTTTTTCCTTAGGCACGCTATTGAAGGTAGGGATTTCAACGTTTATATACATGTTGATGCAGGTTTTGTTGACGTGTAGAAATTTCTGTATAAGCGCCAGATCAAGGAGAGTTCCTGGAATTGAATTCTGCCAATTGAAAAAATAAGTTTCTACTGAAAAATCAGCAACAGAGCCAATTGTTTTGATAAACTTCCAAGACTTTATTTTCCCTGCATACCGGGACCGTTACCCTACTGGTGCTTTTACCTAATATTAATTTCGCTGGAGGTGCCCAGGCGCGGTAATTTTCAAATTACAAGTTGCGAGTCTGCAGGCTCCGCGCGGCTCTCGAACATTGTCTAAATAATAGTCTAATGGACAAGGTATTCCGGAGCCAGCGAGGCCAGAGCGAGGGGCTTCCAGGACTCGCACCTCGTGGTTGCGCTTGCAACGATAGTCTATATTCCCTTACGACTGGTTTCATTCCCCTTTAAAGTGTTTTAGTGGCTCTGGAAGTGGGTGCCCAGGCCGTTTTCTTCAACAAACTGCCTCGTCTCTACGGTGCTGGGGCTTCACAGCCAGGGAACGGTCGTTGCTAACCCGGTTCTTGAAGATTCATCCCGCCGTGTCTCGTGCCGACGTGCCGGCTCTTATGGTTCCTGGTAACGATCTTTTCCGATAGCTACACGATTTAAACGCGAACTGCACGTGCATACATGGCAGCGCCAATGCGCACTTGTACCTGCATAATTTTCAGAATCTATTTACGCATGAAACTCGAGCGTCGCCGGAAGTGTTTGGTATCAGAGACAAAAAACGAAAGAGTGTCCATCGTGAAACGAGGAATATCGTAACAGTAAGGGGATGTTGCAACCATATTCTGTAGTTACACTTTTCTAATTTCGAAGAAGGAAGCTTTATGTCATGATTAGTCGAGGTGATGTCTTTGTGAATCTCCTGGGAGCTCTTCGTGGAGGAAAAGGTTGGTCAAGATTCCTTGTTAACTGTATTCGATGCCAATTTATGTCCTCTGATAATTGTCGATCGAAATTGCGTGAATCTAATAAATAGTTCTTTTGTCTTTAGAATCTTGTAAGAATTCTCGAATAACTAGGCTCTTCGTCATCGAAGCCGTCCTTGTCGCTGGTGGAGCAAATAATCATGATCGATTCTCTCGATTCTCTTGCAAAGTTAAAGGCATTCCAAACGAAAAGAAACA